AAAAAGTAATTAAAATGCGTCGTCATATCCGATGCCGACTGGTGCTCAGTGCATGCGCAAGCAGGGAGAGTCAGAAAGCAGGGAGTAATCCCACTCTTTCATTTTCAACAGATATCACGTAGGCTGCTTATATCTAATGAGCGTTTTGGCAGCCCAGCTTTGGGACAGGTTTGCTTTAAAAGGAGAACTATGGGGTTAAGGCTTTTCCCCATAGTTCTCCTAAGGGTAACGGGAGGACACAAACTAGCGTCCTCCCGTCACCCAAGACTCAGTATATAGGGAGCTGCAGCTCGCGGTATACTGAGACGTTGGGCGGAGTGACCCTTTAAACACCTAAAAACCTATTTGTCTTCTTTTCTATGATGAACATTGTTTGGGGCTCGTTTGGTGAGATCTCTGTGCCGAATTCCTGGCTCAGGACATTTGCTGTGCCCATTATGAGGAGCTTCTCTGCACCTTTAAGGAGGAATGTGCCACCTCCAGGCACACCTTCCCTCAATCTATTCATTGCTATATGTTTGCAAAATTGGTTAGAGTTAGCACCACACTATACAGAGGGGCTCTGATGAGGCAGTGCGGCTTCCTCGTGTATTTGCAAATGTATTCAACAAAAACCTCTGTTCTTAATGCCAATTGTTTTTTTTTAGGGGGGAGGAGGGGAGGGGCTGGCTATCTGGCATGACTGATTGGAATTTTTTTGTATTGCGTCTGTTCTGTGAAATGCAACGTACTTTACAGAGCTTGTTAGAAATTAGAGCGGATGCCATTTTTGTTTTCCCAATGTCTCGGTTGGATATTATGGAGAATGCAAAAAAGAGGTTCTGTAACACGCTGTCGGGAATCGGATCTGAACCCAGGACCTCTGCTGTGGCTGGCGGGGGTTCTACATGCTGAGCCGCCTTAGAACCTTGGACAACTCCTTGCCTGATCTCCTGTGTAATCCTCAGGTAAACCTAGTGTCTGCTGAACTCTGAACTCCTTGCTCCTCCCTTGAACTTCCTATTTAAGCCACGCCTCTGCACTTCCTGTTTGCCAGATTATTGTGCTCCTGCCAATATCTTGCTTCCTGCCCCCTCTGTGCTACAATCTACTCATTCCGCTTCCCGTGTACCGACCTTTGTCTGCTGATTCACCGACTACTCTCACCGCCTTCCGCTTCATACCTGATACCTTTGGCTACTGACCTCGGCTTGTTCTCTGACTACACTTCTGCCTGCTCCTATACTACTCCCGTCTGCTTGTGTACCAAACCCGGCCTGTTATACCACCAATTTGCCTGCTGCTTCAGCTACTGGACTCTGAGCCTGATCCCAGATCGTGACACACGCAAAAGATTGGCGAGAACCCCCAAAATGCCCATTTTGATAGGAACTGTTGGAATTTATGGCAGGGAGATCTCACTGTTGTTTGCCCGATAATTCATTACATAATCAAGATAAAGATAGGATGCCATTTGAAAAGAGAGAGA